ATGGCATATCATTCAGAAATGGATGGACAGACAGAACGAATAAACCAGATACTGGAACAATATCTATGAATGTATTGCAACCACAGACAGAATGATTGGGCACATCTGTTATCCACTGCTGAGTTTGCATACAACAACCAGTCATCTGAAGCAATAACACTGTCACCATTCTTTATCAAATATGGAAGATATTTTTGAACATCTAACGATGTACTAAGGGACATACAACACCCATCACTAGAAGAGTTGTTCAGAGATTGTGAAGAAGCACAAGACCAGGCTAATCTTCACTAGTAATGGCAGCAGAACGTATAAAGTGGTACTTCGATCTCAAAAAGCAAAAAATTCTCTTCAAAAAAGGTGATCTCATAATGCTGAAGGGAACTGACTTACGAGTCAGAACCAAGAGCAAGAAGCTGGCAGCACAGAACTATGGGCCGTATAAGATTCTTAACTTCATAGGTTTCACTTCATTCAAACTACAATTACTGGCAACTATGAATATTCAACCGGTCTTTCATGCCTCTAAGTTAATCATGTTCCATGAAGATTCAGTACCAGGAAGGATCCCACCTATTAACCCACCAGTCATCATAAATGGAGAAATGGAATGAGACATCGAGACAATCCTGGACTCTAGAATCAAATATGGCAAACTTCAGTATTTAGTCAAGTGGCTAGACTATGGCCCGGAAGACAATACTTGGGAACCAGCAGAAAATCTTGACAAAGTCAAAGACATGATTGAAGAATTCTACAAGACACATCCTGAAGCTCCTCGCAAAGCAACACACACATGAAAAGAGCATAACATCTGCCTAAGTGGCCACCCAAATACCTTCCTATTTTTTTGAACACCTAGCCAAGAGAACCAGGTGGCCAACAAAGGGCTTCGACGAGTCAGCTGATTGGGATTTACATTCTACAATAACCATGATCATCCAACCTGGTAAATGCATGCTCATAATGACAGAGCTTGCAATGCCATCACCAGTGAGAACCTACGGACGCATTGCCAGCCATAGCAGCTTAGCACTAAAAGGCATTGATGTAGCTGATGGGGTAATTGACCCAGACTATGAAGGCGAAGTGAAAATCATACTATGTAATGACACTTCAGAGCCATTTGAAGTCAAGGAAGGAGACAGAGTCGTGCAACTCATCTGCGAATTCTTCAAATCAGTGATCTCAATGGAAGCTACTATTCAAAAGAATGACTCAAACAAGAGAATACGAGAGACAAAAAGATTTGGTTCATCAGGACAATGAATTATAAGAAGGGGGTACTGTCACAGTTTCACCAGACGACCTATATATAGAACATAGATACACTTAACTCACACTTATTATTTTGTTTTATCTTATATGTCACATGACAGATCGGTCATCGGCCTTACCATATATATTGCAACATCACGTGACTCATTGGCCTCAGCACCAGCCCTGACTAAATTGCTCAGTCAACTTACCTCAGCTTTGGTCATCTACAGCGAATGACTCAGATAGCGCCACCTAGAGCTCCATCTATTCATAGGCATCAATCATATTATTAGGGACACATCGTATGATGGTAATGCTAGCCAATGGGCACTGTGGAAGATACTTATGTAAGTACGATACAGTAGCATTCCTCACATGTATATAAGACTAGAGTGAAATGGGAGATGGACCTTAGTCGTATTCTTCTTTGTTCAGCGTGACAGCTGCTACAGATCTAACAAGCCTAATACATCTATTCACATCTTATAGCCTCACTCACCACCCAGCTCCGCCACATAAACCAGTGAGTATCAGTGTCGACTGAAGAGGCTTGCTCATCGATGGGCTTCTCGTACAGACCAACCAGTTTTTTACTCCAGATCACCCTTTGAGAGACTGGGGTTTTAGTTTGTCTATCTTTCTCTATGGCGATCCATGACAGTTTAACTAATAGTTGTTGCAATTAAGTTTTCAGTCACCTTGATTTTCACTGTTGCCCTGCTATCTTCAGATTGGCTGCTGCTATACTCACGAATAATATAGCACTAGAAAGTTATCCTTTTCAGCTTTCAATTGAGTACCTCTTGATTAGATATTTATGCTTTGTTTTGAAGGTGTGTGCAATTCTATCAGGCTCATTCATTTATGCCTTTTTGTCACTAACAATCCAAAGCCTCCAAACTTAAAAACCACAGTACTTAGTTAATCAACCCTTTGTCCTAAGCACTGCCTTAAGGCATTAATGTAAACTTTTGATCAAACTTTGATACACAAACCTGTCAATACCCTTTCATTTCTTTTTCAACTGCCTTTACAATTCTGCAATTTGTTTGAATGACCTCTCATACCTTGCTAATGTGTTTTTGGGATGAGTTCAAAGATGATATATGAAATTAAGTTTTGAATATTGATCAGGCCATGTTGCCCAAAATCCCCTTACGAAACAGAAGAGTATTCTCTTTAATCCATCTTCATGTCTGTTGAAAGGTACACTTGAAATTATTATCTTCACACCTTTGCTGTAATGCTTCAAGCCATTCTGAAGCTCAGTTTTCAGAATGGTAACATAAAAAAGGTCAGAGTCATCTTGTTATCAATCTTACAGATATACAGCCTCACATCATGAGTGATCTGTCATCATTTTCATACTACAGCAAATCTGAATCTGTATTCAGCCAAACAAGTTTTAGCCATGCTATATTCAATATTTCAAAGTATTATTTGTATATGTAGTGCATCAGAGTTTGATCAAAAGCATACATACTATACAATATACTCAATGAACATGTTGAGTGTGATTATGTTTATCTATAGCAGACTTTTAGCTTAATGGATAGTTATGAGGGCTACAGAACCTATAAGTATGTCAGCCACTTAGGATTTGAAAACAAGTCTAAGATAATGAAAATCTTTTTTGAGGCCACTCTGAATATTTTGATACAGCTTCAAATGGCAGATATCTTGAAGTATTTTGCTACGATCATCTGCACTGCCATATTTGCAGCATGATTACTACCCATAAGCTTGTAATTTTTCTTGTGAAGTTTAATGGAAGCAACAATATCTTTTAAAACTGCTATCTTTACCTCATAATTCTTTTTGTCCTCTTTCAGTTGATGAATAGCAATGTAATACTGATCAGAATTAAGATCTGGACATGGACTGACAATGAGACTGGCAGCTCCTACTTTCAGAGTTGCTTGCAGACCTGTTAGATATGAGCTGAGCGAAAGATCATGAGTTTCTCACCACTTTTGACATGCATTTTGACCTGCTCATGAGAGGACACCATCGAAACCTTGCTGCAGCCCTTATGACAGAATTTGCATTCTGTGCATCATCTCTTTCCTTTCAGCATGATGCAGTCTAAGTTTTTCCTGAAGCACTGCTCTCATGATCTGCCATAGGCGATGTCACCAGAAATGTCAGAAGCGATGATAGTGAGTGCATCGCTGACTATGCTGTCAGACTTAAAGTTTGCTGACGCATTTCATTTCCCAGTGACAACAAGTGCAGATGGTGACAGCATCCTCACTCCTAGCAACTGCTGATAGCTTGCTGTCACATTTTTGCTAGGAGAAGATAGTGAAAACATCAGTGAGGTCTAACTGACTGACCACTATATAGCATCAACAGCCTACCTGCCACTAATGTTGAGACCCTGAGGCATGCTGTGTCATCCCATCCATGAAGTCACAATCACAGAAGATGAGACATTTGTCATGATGGTGAACTTTGCATTTGAAATAATATGACCTGGCAGGCCACTAGTAGGATGCTTCTTGTCATCCTCAACTAGTGCTTTCTTGTTCACAGTGGGCATATGCTCCTCCAGCTCCATTGCATCATTTATCACAATAGTGGCTCCAGATATGTGATCTGGATAGTATAGAGGGGAACTTCTGAGAAGCTGGCAGTGAGCAGTTTGCTTCGGCATGTGCATCGTGGTGTTCTACAGGTGAAGCATTGTCATTTCTAACATGGTGCGATTTTAGCTTAGCAAATTTGTGATCAGGAACTGACGATATGTCAAATAACTTTTTTACTCTAGAGACAAGCTGGGCATCCTGTGAGAGAGATAAGCAAATCACCAGATAGTGAGATGCTGCATAAAATGGTGGCCACTGCTGGCAAGTCTGCTTGAAGAATCTATAACTAAGCATTTGTCTGCATTGCCCAGTATCCTATTCATCTGTATGTGCTTGTCATTCAAGTTACAGGCCATGGTCGATCACATAGATGTGAGATGTTCAACAAGAGAAGCACAAGAACATTTGAGGTAGAGAACATGGCCAACGGGGCACCTCTAATAGGAAGTACATACTGTGGATTTAAAGGGGTGAAGACGACCAAGCATTCAAAAATAGTCAACTGAGAACAATGATTAGTGCAGAAATGAATGAACAAATGTCACTACCTCAAATGTGAATGCATGACCGTGAAGTGGCACTGTGTCATGATATGATGATCATGGTAGCAGCAGAATCATGGTAGCAGCAGATAAGCTGCATCCTCACACAAACCATCCTATATGATCACCATAGCGATGTTCAATGCCTTCAATTGCATCCTGCCAGCCGCGACATACAGCCATCATGAACACTGCCAAGATTGACATCCTGAAAGTGAAAAGCTCTTCGGAGGTCACTCGAAATATTTTAAACATAGCTCAAAATGGCAGACATCTTGCAGTACTGTAACCTTTCGACCATTGGTTCAGTCATACGTCACACCCTCCTTGAACTGGCGTTGAGTTCAGAGGTCATGCATCACGGGCCCTGAAGTAAAGGCAGTTCAAAGGTCACACCGTCCCGAAGCTTTTTCACGGGCGCTTATGTATTTTCTCCCTCAGAACGCCTCCTCCTACGCTACAATGCCAGTTCTAGTGATGGCTGTCATGTAGAAGGCAAGCGCACCTTCAGACAATTTCGGGCTTATTCACAGCGTGCCAAGCATCCACCAGCGAACTACGCTTCTATCTCGCATGTCCCCACATCAGTATCGAAGTGGATTAACTTTTGCTCCTCCGAGTGACGTTCTTGTTGATCCTCGTTTACAACTTGTCGTATCGCATGTTTAAGAGGCCGATTGATCCCTACATCACATGGTTGGAATAATCCTGTGCAGCCTCCAGGGACATATTCGCGGAGAATCCACGGACAGGTTGCGGGAAGCCAGTTATAGAACTCTTGCCCACGATGGACACTCCAGACGTCGAGACGAAGGATACATGCCTGGTTGTCAGGCAGCTTATAGATTTCCTTTTGACGATTGAACAAGGATTTTGTCAACGTAGCTGCACATGAACGGGAATGTGTATCAGTCTTTGAATAGGTCATCTGCCTCCTGGCGTTTGCGAGTGTCTGCTCGCTCTTGTATATGACAGAACGGTATGCCATGGTTCCATATGTCCTGGCCTTGTCGCATGAATGAATCTCGGCATTGGTCATCAGCATTACCTGAAATTTTCCTTATTGGGGCACGGAGGGACCAACCGAGCTCCATGTGCCAATATTTTCGCATGAATGTATGGCTGCATTTGAATACACTACCATCTTTGGCTTTGGTGCGTAACACTCTGGGCCCGCATTTTCAATATGGCCTATCATGATGGCACGAGCAGCAGCTAGAGATATGCCAACCCGCAACGCAATCAGTTCACCGGGTGATTGCGGCTATGAGTTCAGGTTTAGCTAGTTTGACGATCTGCGCAATCCATTTCAGGTTAAGAGAACGAACCAGAATTCCGACATGATTGGCTCGATGATGGTTTCCGCCTGCTTAGACCATTCTGAATGCTGTCCAGAGCGATCGATCATTCTTCCAATTACTTGTGAGGTGATGCTAGCAAAATCATGGAGATTGCGTGTCTTGAGAGTACGCGCAATGTCTGAGGGAACATTTTTAATGCCGCATGAATTGGCTGTTGACACAATTTGAGAAAGGGTTGAAACAAATCACTACGCTCGCTTGATTGATGCACATGCTTGCGGGGTCACCCAGTTCCGTCAATGTTCTGTCCCAGGTTTGGAATGCTCATGTGGTCGGGACAGCTCAACAATGCTTACTTTGCCGCCAAGCACACACCTGCATTGCCTTATCGCTTTGCTTCCGATGTGCATGAGTCTAAATATAGTGATCGAAAATTACATATTGTCTGACCTTCTTAACCCTGCCATTGCTGTCCCTCCGTCCTGTAAGAATCTCTGTCTGTTACGCTGTGCTTGTTTCCAATGACATGCAGCCTCACGCTGGCATTGTTGCTTGGCCTCGGTGGCTTCACCAGCCTTCTTTCGGCATTTGTCCTCGTATACATACGATCTAACTCGAATTGCTCTGGACTTCTCTGAGAAATTCCTCGCGACTGATGCGATGGAAGTAAGCAAGAAGTGGGCCACTTCCTTTAACTGATTATGAGAGGGCGCTGCTAGTTTCTTTGGTGATATTCCAGAGAGGAAGCTGTGTGGCTGATGTGTTGGTCCGCTCCGTGCTCTGACAGACAAGTCATTAGCATGTGACGCCCATACGGCCACCATACTTAGTTCATGTGACTGTTTACAATACGTGGATACTCCCGCATACGGAACACATCTTTGTGTAAGCTAGACCACAAAGTTCGACTATGTCATATGCTTGATGATGACAACGATGATAGGGCACGAGAAGCTATCATTCTGCAGCCCATGTGGGAGATCATCACCCAGGTTGAACGCGCCCATCCGAGAACATGCTAGCCACCGTTGGATAATTGCGATATCCTGCGAGCGCGGAGCATTGCCTATAGGGTCATCGAACCGAATTTCCCTGCGTTGGATGTCAAGGAGAAAGACGACCTAGTGGGTACGCCCCTTATCATGCCACGGCAGCCACAATAGCTTCAACGTGGCGGAAATTTGGATCCTTTCACCCAGTTTTCGCAGTCGTGAAGTGCTTCTCGGTGGGATGCATATCCCAATCCTGACTGGCAAGCCGTAGTCTTGTGAACTATCATCCATTACTAGCTAATCAATCACTCTGTGGTTTGGTCTCGAAGCAATGATTGCTAGTATTACATACCGGATGTGCCTTGTCAGACACAATAGAGCAGACCCACTGTCTACAACACATAGATACACATGAAAGCTTCCTTTCCACCGCAACACGTCAAACGTTGATAGCTCATCTTCGCGAGACTCTTGGGAAGGTGTTCTAAAGGTCCAAACTTGCTTGAGCATCCACCCCGCTTTATCGAGCATTGGTGGTCAAAAGATCGGAGAGCGGTGACTTAAATTAGATCTTTGATTGAGGCGTCGTGGGGAAGGAGACGAGATGTCAGCCGCCGCGTCAATCTCGATAGCCTGGTCCTCAACCGCTTGTGACATGCAGGGCATGGCTGTCCGTCTGGCAGCTGCAACAAGCACAAGAAAAACCTCGTAAACACAACTATACAGTACATGCGGCAATCTGGGTGCCAAAAATCTACAAATTTGGCAACATACATCTCCCACATAATTGAGCGCCTGAAACTGAACTTTTGGTTCCAGGTCACAGGGGTCTTGAACTACGTCTGGCCCAGTTCAGAGTTCATGCATCACACTCGATGAACCTATGATCGAAAGGTTACAGGATCGCCAAGATTCATGACATGGTAGGAGGGAATTGAATGCTCAGGAAGGGCATTGAAGGGTTTGAGGCCCTCAGTGATGGCCTCAACCAAGTTTTGAATAATCAAAAGCCGTTCTGAGGCCACTCTGAATATTTCAACACAGCTCAAATCATGAAGTTCATAACATTGTGGGGGATATTGAATGCCTAGAAAGAACATCAAAGTGCTTGAGGCCCTGATTTGTGGTCTCAATCACGTTTCAGATAATGAAAAGCTCTTCTACACATATTACACATTGCAAACCTGCAGCATTTCAATGGCCCTCTTACCCAGGTGGGTGTGGAAGAAGCCAGGGGAGAGTCTCAGTGATAGATTGGTGGAAGGGACCCAGAAGTTTGAAGGTGGGTCCTTGATGGTGTGGGGCTGCATGGGCTGGGATGGCGTGGGGTATGCAGGATGGATGCAGACCTTTATCAGCATTGTGAGCTGCAGAATAGCCTGGAGGATTGCGGCAAAGCTGTGGAGGATGTGGTGTTTCAGTAAGACAATGACCCCAAGCACACCAGGCAGACCATCAAGGATTGGTTCAAAAACCATGATTTCAACACTATGATGTATCGGGAGCCATCAAAGAGTTGTGGGATAGAGGAGGGATGGGAGGCTAAGTGTGTCAGAATCTGATTGAAGGTATGCCTCAAGTACTGAGAGTACAAGTTTTATAGAACCCGGATATGTGCCACATAACTGTTGATAAGTGACCCTCGAAGATACTATTGTTTCAAACGAGTCCATTGGTTGGGCATGTTTACTATACAGGTTGAGGTGAGCAATCTTATCAACAGTTTTGTGCACCGTGTATTTCAGTTATGTCAATACTATGCTTTTTTTACATCATATGTCTCTTTACCAAGCAGTAACAACAAAATGCAGTAAGAACATTTTGAAGGAATGACTCTTCCTAACCTCAGGATAGGGGGCGGAAAATGAAACCACTTTGCATGGGGACCAAAAAAGCTGCATAGACGCCCTAAGTCCTCAGTTTTCTACAAACTTTTTCTTCATACCTCAGAAATCGTAATGAAGAGTATCATGACCTCATTAATCGTTCCTGTCAGAAATGTTACAAGAAAATTATCGGCTTTAAGTTAACTTAATGAGAGATTTTCTACCCTTTTGATTATAGTAGATGAAATTCCTTTATTCTGAGAATTCCTGATGCAATATACAGTGACCCACAAAACTATTTATAGGATTGCTCACTCTCAATAGTAAAAATATCTCCTCAATCAATGGATCAAATGAATTATACAAGAGCTCGTTGAATCCCTATTTTTGCGCCTACCAAATCCTTTGCAGCTCTGATTATATTTTTAGCACATTCGATCCTATGATCAACACTTTTGTGGCGCACATCTGCATTTATAATTCACACTTTTCAGTACTTAGTACAGCCTCCCATTCCTTCACCACTTCTTGACATGCTTTGAATTAGATTCTGACACATTTGCTTCCCATTCCTTCTTCTCCACTCTTTTTTATATTCCTTTTAAATTGCTCATGATACTCTGCATGCTCTATGGATTTGAGACCTGAGAATTCGAAGAGTCATGCCATCCTTCTTGCTTGTGTGCTGGGGTCATTGTCTTGCTGGAACACCACTTCATTCATCGTTCTGCTTCAATCCTCCTCAGCTCAGAATGCTGCCATCAATCTTTCAGGATACCCCAGACTATCCGGCCCATACAGCCCCACATTAAGGATCCACCTCCAAACTTCGGAGTTCACTCTACCACCCTATCATTGAGGATCTCTCCTGGCTTTCTTCCACACCCCATTTTGTCCTATCTGAACCATTCTGATAATCTTTGTCTCTCACACCATCCTACCATTTTGCTCCAGTCCTTCACAGGACATGAGTCCATCTCTCCTGCAGAGACTGAAGGCCCACTTCACTACAATGGCCTTTTTTCATCCTCTATGCACCACCTCTGTTCTGCCATCTCCAAGACCTCTGGCTGGTGGTAACCTTTATGATTGACATTTCGGATAAGGAGTGAGTGTTCACTTATGTGCTCATCTGAAAAGCCATCCAGTGAATATGTTTATGATGATGGATGTGTGATATGGTAATTAAAAATAAAGTTTTGATTGTATGTCTGGAGAGCAGAGTTGAGTGTCTTGGCAATAATAGAAATCGATCAAACAGTGTAATCATGCAAAATAATCTCATTGGCACTGAAAAACCTGAAGAATGTTACACCTGGTCAGCACATTTCGCATTTGTATTGATGTTAAGGACAACAGTGATAAACACATCACTGATGGTCTGGTTCCTTGTGCTCAAGCCCAGTTCATATCAAATGGGGTAAGAACAACCACGATGTCTATTCATGCTCTTGAGAGTGCTCATGAATTGTTTAAACTGACAGAATAGAGCTTTCTTGACAAGTTTACTCACATTTACACTGTGATGTCTCATGACTCACCAATAGGAAAAGAGTGTCCTCTTAACTCAGGTTCCTCAAGTTAGATGCTATATAGGATTACAGCTCAATATGCCAGACAATCTGCAGTCTGATCAAAGTTTCTGACCAAATTTATTAATCAATATTACAGCCTTTTTGGTCAGAAAATGTGCGGCTATGAGATAAGAGATGACTTTTATAAGGTCATGTGCTCTACAACTGTGAG